GCCACTGAGAGTCACTCTGACTCTGCTCCTCGTTGCATTTGTTGGCTAGCACAGGTAAACTGCCAGAGAGTCTCTCTCCTAAGCACCCACATCCATCTCTGGATCCAGCCTAGAGTCCTTCTGGGGATCAGAGGCTGAGCCGTTGTGCTGGTTTGAGCTGAAGTAGAGTTGACTTTCTTCATAGAGGCTAGTATGAGGCTATGTTTGGGTTTTGTGCAGAACACAGTGTTGATAATGCAGAGATGCTTTTGTTATTGCTGAGCAGAGCTTACACAGAGGCAAGGCCTTTGCTGCTTTCCGTACTGCCAGGCTGGCAAGGAAGTTGGGGATGCATGGGAGACTGGGAGGAGACACAGCTGGGACAGGTGACCCAAACTGACCAAAGGGATATTCTATACCATATGGCATCATGCTCAGTATATAAGGTGGGAGGAAGAAGGAGGAAGGGGGGACATCTGGAGTGATGATGTTTGTCTTCCCAAGAAACCGTTACGCGTGATGGGCCCTGCTCTCCTGGAGGTGGCTAAACACCTCCTGTCTTCGGGAAGCAGTGAATTAATTCCTTGTTTTGCTATGCTGGTGTGTGCAGCTTTTGCTTTCTCTATTAAACTGTCTTTATCTCAACCCATGAGTTTTTGTAGCTTTTACCCTTCTAATTCGCTCCCCCATCCCGTTGGTGGGGGAGTGAGTGAGAGGCTGTGTGGTTCTTGGCTGCTGCGGGGGTTAAACCACGACAGCCGTTTCTGTGTTTGGCTATGTGGTGAGGATTGATGGTGGCTCCCACCTGCAGGGAATACTTTGATCTTTATCTAAATCAGTGTTTACCCAGTACTGTTAGCTCTCTCTTTACTTCAGCTTGCACTGACACCGTTTGCACAGTGCCATTACTAACTCTAAAGCAATTCCTCTCTCAAAAGTCTTTTATCATAAACCAGTTGTTTTTTTTCTGGTGGTCATTATTTTCACATAAAAAAATACACATGGCAGAGCAAATGCCTCTGTGTCTGTCAGGCAGTAATGGACTCTTTGTGGACACTAGCAGGAAATGTGCCTTTTGTTTCCCTGCACCTGTTGCTGAATTACAAATAAAATAATCCAGTGCTTTATTAAATAAAATGAGAAGCCCTAATGAAATTGTACCAGCCATTACCAGGAAGTCTATTGAAAACATTCAGCAGCTGCTTCAGTTTCAGTTCACTTACACTGATAGGATTGTTTTGCACTTCTCCTTGTGTTCCAAGTGGGAAGGGCACAGTGCCTTGGACCATCTCTCACTGCTCCCCTCGAGCTCCCTGGGAAAGATTTGGTCAGAATCAGAAATAAATGATGCTCAGGTACCTCTGAGTTGTTGAAGTTTGTTAGAAACCAATGTTCTGCATCTGAGTGCTTTGCGAACATCAGCTTTAGATCCTGAGAGCAGTTAAGCAAGTAGAGAGCTACTGTTTGATTGTGATTCTATGAGGGGTTGATCACAGAGGCTAGGAATCACATCAGTCAGCCATTCCCTGTAGACAAAACACCTTAGCAGCCTGAGGAAGCCCCTGGCCTGAGCTGGGGGTCAGCCTTGTTCAATAGAGTTAAACGTTGCCACTCCTTCACTAAAGGTCTCTAGCAGAATTGATCTGACTCTGCCGTGTTTAAGTCAACACATCTATCACAGCTGTGCTGGCAAGAAGGTGGAGGCTCTTTCCCAGGACACACTAGCTCCTGAGCAGAGCTGCCTGGTTTAAAAGAGAAAGTAACCCTAGCAGTACCCACCGTGCTAAATGCTTGATCTTGTGTAAAACCCACCAAGACATTGCATCTTAACCTCTTTGGACACTGGCAAATGTTTGATACAGACTTTCTGGTACCAAGAGCATAACAAGGATTTGTGTTCAAACTTGTGTAGGTCAGGTTTGGTTTTGAAGATGTGAGTGGTAGTTGGATGAAATGTTGGCCAAGAAGTGATCCAGCCCTCTCTTCTGTCCAGGGGCACAGGGAGCAGTGGGAGGATGGACAGGCCCTGAGCATCTCCTGCTGGTGGGATCCTTTGTGACCTGAGTGTGAGCAGGAAATTACCACTAGAGTCTGTCTCCTGCCCTGGTTTTATGGTGGTACAAATTTGTGGATCTACTCTGAATTTATCCCCGTTCAGCTCCTTGAAGGGTTTAGGCTCAAATACAAGGAAGGCAGGCAAACACAACCGTTCTAGAACTCAAAGAGATGATACAAATAGGACTTTCCTATTGGAAAATTTGACCTAGATCAGATTAAGGCAAATTTTGGGGATGGGGGAGAGGGGAAGGACAAGTCCCTGTTACAGGCAGCTGGGCTGTGCCATCCACAGGCCAGCAGGGACCAAGGCTCATTCAGGCTCTGAGCACACGGTGAAGGGAAAGCACTGCAGTCTTCATCCTCACCGCGGCCTCTCCGTGGAGGAATACTGTAGCTGTGTAGGTACTGAGACAACTTTTCCACAGTGATATTTTTCCAGGTGATACTTAGGTGTATTTAATTTTGTAAATTGCTTAGGTTTGTGGCTGGAACATGTAACTTGTGGGATGCTCAGCTCAGCAGTGCCTGAGGGAGGCACAGGGCAGGGCACAGCAGCAAGGAGGATGAAGAGGGTTTAACTCTGTAAACTGAGCTCACTTGAGCTGATGCTGCCAACAGATCCAAGAGGGATTCTGACAGCACTTCCAACTGTTGTCAGTAAATCACCTGCAGCTGGAAGAGGATGTTTCTCTGTTGCCCAGTGCTTTTGGTGCCAGCTGTGAGGTTGGAATATTGCTTTGCTGTCACTGTGACCCTATTAGGAAAGAGTTATGTCCTCAGAGGAGCTGGAGAGATCCCTGCAAAGTTCTTAGTGCCACAGTGAGAGCTGCAGGGGGTTGCAGGAAGGAATATAAGGGACTAAGGTGTTTTCCAGTTGTACAATGTTTACATTGTCTACATGTAGTGTTTACATGGGGCAGAAGCTTCTGCCAGACACTGCTGAGCCAACAAGAGGAAGGAAGTCCTGCTCAGTGAGCTCCAGCCTAAGTGAGAAATATATGCATATATCTCAACCCAGAAACACCTGCTGCATAATCCACAGCTGGGGGACATAAACACGCCTCCTAATCCCCAGCTAAAAGGTATTTTGCTATTCAACAAGTCCTTATCAACTCAAGCATCCCCCCAGTGCTTTAAGTTTTCTACAGATAAAGAATAAATTGCTAGCCTTTGTTTCAGGGCCCCAGAACACCAGGAGTGAGTCAGGGTGAGTGTATTTGCAAAAGGGCAGAGCACACTTGGGTGTGACACCTCTGCTGAATACTGATCTGCGTTGAACACTCATTTGTGTTTTACCAGTGATTATTTAATTCAAGAGAACATATAGGAATAATCATATTTGCTTGCAAAGAAAAAAAACCCAGAAAATTATACTGTCAGGACTGTCAGAGCACTGTGAGATGTTATTGCAGGAAGGGCATTTTCATAGAGCAGCTATGTAATTAACTTTCCACTAAGTATCTGTCCTTGTTCCCATCAGGTCACCCTGGGCTCTGAAGTTAAAAGTCAAGAGTCATTTATGAGAACTTTTGAATGCCTGGTATAACAGTGTCCTGACAAATAACCAAAGGTGCAAAGTACCTTTGTGATTTCTTCTTTGGACCTTAAGTGTTTGCCAGGACACCCTAAATCCACACTGATATACTTGTAATCACTCATTATCTCATTCCAACATAACTCTCAAAGATTTTTAGGAAAACCAGATTACAGTAATGAGTCATCAAGTCCTTTATCCCTGAACCAGATCTCTTTCTTCACCTCAGAGATTCAGAGCTGTTCACAGCAGACCAAGTGCAGGAGGTTAAGGCCAATTTAATTTCTACACATGATCAAGGTGACAGCACAAACTGCTGATGGTTGAGACCCAGACACTCGTGCCCAGGCCACACGCAGGCAGTGCTGGCACGTGGCACACGTCTCTGAGCAGGGAGCAGATGGCAATAGTACAGGAGTATTTATCATTTGACCATTTCAACTTTATTTTCTCAGCAAGGCCCTTAAGACATTATTCCCCTTGGAGGAAGAAATGTACTTGAAACAACTGAAAGTCTTAATTTCTTCGGAACCTGTGGGACATGTCCCCAGTGTGTGCCCTGCTCTCCCCATCACCACACTGAGAGAGGTTCAACAGGACCTGGTTAGCTCTGTAGTCACTGATAACACACACGTGGCCAGGAGCCAATCCTTTTGGTAATGGGTCCTTTAATGTTCTGCTCTGTTAATAAAAAAGTGATCCAATGTATCTTTTTCCTTAGGGAGTAACTATTCAGGAGGTTTAAGAAGCAAATACATCACGTCCAGGAATTGTTTGTCAATGCATCCATGATGATGTATATATTTGCACAATCTGAAAAGTTAGTATCTTCATCCAAAGTGCCAAGGCTGGAGGAATGGGAAGCAGTTTAGGGCAGGAAACAAAGTTCTGTAAGTCAGTTATGGCAATGCCAAGCTTACCCTCATCTCTGAGTGGGCTGGGGAGACAACCAAATCTATAGTTAAAGTCACTGAGAGGAATGCACTTCTTCCATGCTTAGTTAGCCAAAACCCACACACATCCTGCACACAGCCAGCAGGAAGGGATGCACAGGAGGAACCAGCTACACTCCAAGGGATGTATAAGCACACCAGTAATGGTCACTGCGGATCAGCTCCGAGTCACAGCTTCCAGGGCAGACACTCTCCTGCCTCTTCAGGTTAGAGCTACTCCAGTTCCAGAGTACAGAAAGGTTTGACATTAAGGCATAACATACAGCTCTGGTGTTTGCTTTCATTTAATAAAGATCAATTTACTCAAATACATGGAATGTTGGCACAAAACTAAAGCTCTTGTGGAACAGCTACCAATCATACACAAATATTCTGTGAGGTCCTCTGGACTTGCATTTCTCCCATAGACACACCACAAAATGGCTTCAATAATACAAACTGAATGCTGGATCAAATCTCTAAATAATAAGTAGCAGTTAAAGTAAATGGTTTGCTTTATTTGTAAATTATGTACAGAATACACTTTTGTTTAATTATGATGGAGCAGGAGAAAGAAAACAGCCATCACTTCCAAACGCTGCTGCTTCCTTCCCCTGCTGGAGATGACATCTCTCTGCACTGGATGTACAAAACCAGTTTGGATTTCCTCAGTTGCTGGCACACAGTCTGGAGAAACAAAGAGAACACTGCAGCCAAATTCAGCACTACTAGCTCCTCTATTGTCAGCAAAATACCTCTGCTAAAACTAGTTCTCTTAGGAAAGTTCTCACAATCTTTTGAAAAGAAAATCAAGAAAAAAATATCAAGAAAGCTGTGGGCCAAGAAGGGCTTTACCTAACTAGCAAATGAGTATAACTAGGAATAATCTGAGATTTGGTCATTCAACTTTTACCTGTTTTACAAAAGCAAGTTTGAGAAGCTGAACTAATTGACCAGTTATGCAAGTACCAGAAAACTATGTTTTTCAGTATGCTTGAGGACAATCTGGGCAATCTATCAATCAATAAAAAACTTGTCAGATTGATAAAACTTCTGTAAATGGATATTAATGATTAACATAGTACCAAGTAATCAAGTTAATGGTTAAAAAAAAAATGAAGGAACTAGATATAAAACTGTTTGGTAACACATATATTTCAGCAAACAAAGATGCTACTGTATGGTCTATGTTTTGGTGATCAGCCAACAAAGAAAATCCAACCATTTGCACATACTTAGTCCCAACACCACAGTGAGTTATGATTTTCCATGTGAAGGCCTACTTTCAGTATCTTCCTCCTCCTCCTCCTCACAATCTCCTTCATCTGTTTGCTGTTCCAGTTCCTCTTTTGTGATCATTTCAAAGTCGTTTCCATTGCCACTACTGTGCTGGGACCTGTCGTCTTCACGCCTGTCACTGTCAGTGTCTGAATGTCGCTCTCCTCCCGAGCCCTCTGTTCCCGAGTTCCTTGTGCCTTCTGTTTTCCCATCCTCCTCTTCCTTCTTCTCACTGTCTGATTTCTCCTCACTGTCGTTTTTCTGCTGCTTTTTGGATTCTGATTTCTCCTCTTTCTTTAAGTCTGCTTTTGGTCCCTTGTATTCGTGTGTGTACAGGGGCCTGAAGGAGTCAATGAATCCCACGTCTGCCGTGAGGTTGGGCAGGAACCAGAAGTGATGCCTTCCTCCAGTGATGAGCCAGATGATCAGGAACAGGATGCAGCGAGCTGTGGGAGAGTAAGGTTTGTTATAAACACACCCCCTGTACCACTCTGGTGATGTCCACTACCAACACCCACCCCAAGGACAGGGTGACCCTGGGAGGAAATCCCTCATTCCACAATAGTGGAATTTGCAACTTCAAAGTCACACTGGGGATTGCTTGAACTTACTTAATATTGTTTCAGGAGCTGGAATAGATTCCCATGGGTTTCAACATGTATTTGGCTTGGGCTAGTGACATTACATTAGAAACACAAAGATCGTTGAAATCACGAATGTGGTATTTGAGGAGTGAAATAGTTTGTTCTAACCACAGATCTTATCTCTGACTTAACTCTTAATCCCTCGCTACCGAAATACAACCAAATGAAGCTTTAAAATCCTGGTGACAACACTCTCACCACGGGATCTGTTCTGGTGTGCAGCTCTGGGATCGTTTTGCTCCCTTCTGTTTAAACAGAGACAGCAGAGGAATCTGCACTGCACAAGAAACACCAACGGGTGACACCAGTTGGCGATCTCTCTTCTCCCGCGGCACAACGGTGACACCCGGTGGCCCGGCGGGAAACGCGCATGGAACCCGCGCGGTGCGGCAAGTGGGACCGCCCAGCTGGGCCGTGCCTCCGGCTCACCCGAGCGGCACTTACCCACGGCGAGCAGGAGGATACTGGCGACAAAGCAGCCTGCGCCCACGCTGAGGTAATACACACCAACGCGCATCTCGGCCGGCCACAGCGGGAACAGGGTGGCGGCTATCACCGCGATCACTGAGCAGGAGGCGAGAAGAAGGGCAGGAGATGCAGCATTAGTGCTCCCTGGTACAAGTACACAGGTTCCAGGCTTTGTGTTCGTTTGAAGTGTTCGTTTAGCATAGTGTGAGCTCCTGACAGTACTTTAGGCGCTGACTGAAACCCTGTCTAGCTGCACTGTTCCTGTGCTTTACTGGGTACAGACACCACATGCAGCAGCTCCAAGGGGCTGCACTTAGCCCAGAGCACCTCTGGGAGGAGAGCAGGAGCAAACAGGTGAGCAGGGAGCTGGGTGGGCATCATGGTGACCACACAGACTGGCTCCCCAAGGGATGACACAGATTCTCAGAACATGTGGTTCTCTCAAGGAGAGGAAGCTGGGAGGTACAGGTCATGGATGCTGGACCATTAGCTCACTGATGCCAGTTAACATCTACCCTAATTTAGATTAAAAAACTAAAGTTAGCTGGTTTGGCTTATCCCACACAAATACAAGTTCTAGGGTCAGAAAGGCATTGTTCACGTTTTTATACAACTCAATGCCTGTTGTACAACTCACTGGTTACCTTAAAGCACTGGAAATAAACAACTTGTGTCTACTCTGACTTACCAAGCACAAGTCCCATGGCAAAAGTTTTAAAGTGAACAGGGTCATAGATCCACACATACACCTACAACAGAAATGATCTGGTTTACACTCAGGAAACAAGCTCTCCGATAAACATTCATTCCCTCACCCAAGTGCTCACTGCCAGGCTGCAGTGCTTGGTGCTGAACTGTGGTCATACAGCAGCAGGGCAAGGGGTCCTGATTCCTGGGAAGGGTAACTCAGGTGATATAATCCCAGGAAAAACCATCAGACAATAGCACTGATAGGGATATGAAAGATTTGGAAATATCACTGAATCAAGGTTTGGTTTTATCTTCCTTTATCCATTAACACTGTTCAGCACAAAGCCAAAAACACTTTTGCAAAAAAATAAGAACGTTTTTCAGGTGCACCGCGTGGAAACAAAAAGCTCTCTGAGCTTTGAGGAGCAAAACCCAGGCTGGACACCTGGTAGCAAGCAGGCAGCCTAAAGGCTCAAGGCTCACTCCGTGCTGGCCTCAGACCAGTGTCGCTGTGCCCTCTGTTCCACAGCCACTGTTAGCTCAGTGCCAAATGTTTGTGGGAGAACTGTGGATCCACTGGAATCAGCTGCTCAGCCCTGTCACAAAAATAAAACAACTTCTTGGTAACTACAGGAGTTCCTGAACTAGAAAAATAGTTTGTTTTGTTGCCCTTTTTTTAACCAAACTGAACAATTTGAATCTGAGCTACTAACTGAAAAGAAGCTGCTGATTACTAGAAATCAGCAGCCCTCACTGCAGATGTGTCCATACCACCTGCCAAACACCTGAGGCAGTGGTGAGGCAGGGTGATGGAACTCATCACTGTGCTGCTCACACGGTGCCAAAGCTGACTGCACTCAGGTGTAGCTGAGCCCAAACAAGCTGAGTATCATGACTGGTGACTGAGCAATAAGACACTGTGATACTCAGTGTCTGTAAGTGCAAAATCATGAAGAAAAGGGAAAAAACAGCTCTAATGCAAATGCAGAAGAACTGGCTCTAAATTAGCCAATAAAGAAAATTAAATTATCCTCTTAAGAACTCTTGGGAGTTGCAGTTCTTAAAAATGCCAGTTATTAATAAACAGAAAAAGCAACTGATGCTAAGACATGCAGCAAGTGATACTGCAAATACTGTGCTGCAGCCCCATTTGGAATGCTGCACCACTCTGGGCACTCCAGGGGAAGAAAATAGGGAGGATCAGTAAATCCACACGAGGTGGGACAAAACAGAGCAAGGCAGGCTGCAAAAGGGTTGACTGAAAAGAGTCCAATCAAGATACAAAAAAAGAACATTTTCCAGACAAGTGATTTATTTATGGAGTTCACTGCCATGTCTTTTTTATAACCAAAGGAATGCAAGAATCCATTGGGAGATTCCAGTACAGCCACACACAGCATCAATACAGCACAGTAAAGCTGTGCTGAGAACTCACCACTTATCCCAAATGTTCAAGGCACAAATCTAACTTTGTACTTTACAGAGATGGTAAAGAATGAAATTCGTTGTCTTCCAGGAAAGCAAAAAGTATTTAAGAGCACAATGTCAGTGGGAAAGCCAGGATGAGACTTCAGGAATGTCCAAGTGTCACCTGCCTGCCCAGATCACTCTGTGACTGAACATCATGTTCCAAAGGGCTTGTGTTTGGTTTAGAACTGTTTTGGCATGGCAATGGCTGTAGCATGACTTGAGCTGGAGGACCTCAGGAGTCTCCTGTCCCAGGCACGGTCAGCTCTGGGCACAGAGGCCGTGGCACTGCCCTGGGCAGCTCCGAGACCTTGTGTGTACACCCTGAGGACAAACAATTCACCTCGTGGCCACTAACACCTGAACTACTGGTAATTAAGTTTTCTTCTAGATTTTGTTAAGTTACTGTCCTACAGTTACCTGCCTCTAACCTCCTTCAAATACCTAAAAATCTGGTTTCAAGATCACCCATCACATTGCCATTAATTTTCCTTTCAACATGTCAAGAAAGTTTGCAGAAATCCAGTAAATGAACCTACTGTGACGACAGCACATTGACACTCAAGGCTGGAAAGTACCCACAAATCTTACCTCATTTCCATCCAGGAAAACTTGGTCTTCATGTGGCTCAAGTTTAAATTTCCTCTTAGTTTCCTTTTTCTTGGGTGTTCCTGGGGTCTCATCCTGAGGACAAACACAAATTTCATGTATTAAGAAAACATTTTACAGAGGGTTTATTTTATAGTATTTTAATATATTTAGCCCTGATAACTTATCACAAACTTAACATCACGTTCACACTATTTTTTAAAGTAAAAAGATGTTTTATTTCCTCCTGTTCTCAATTATTCCCAACTGGGTACCTCAAAAATAAAGGGAAATTGTGAGGAGAGAGAAATTTTATTTTTAATTAGTATGTAAAGAGCAGATTATGACTTCAGGATTGCACTCCCCCTTCAAATGCCTAGCAAAGCTGGGCTGGTATTAACAGGGAGTCTGCACAGAGCACAAGAACAGGGAACAACACTTCACCATCACTGACTTCATTAGAATTATTTGCTATTTGGGTGCCATATTTGCCACAGAGATCCTGGCAGAACCAGCTTCTGCCCATTTATTCTCTATCTTCTCCCTAATCTCTTTCTGGTTCTTGTGCTTCCTCTTCCTCATCTCCCGTTTCCTTCTCTTTGCTTATTTGGCTGTGTGAAATTAACTTCCTAAATTTGGGTCCTGTGTTGTTGCTTAAGTTCCTGCCCACTGGCTTATATAATCCATTAAAATATCTGTTCAATAAATAATGATTGGTTTAAAAATTAACACCACATTTAATAATGTAACCCCAGGTGACAGGGGATTGGAGGAGTTCCTCACTTTCATCATCAGCATTGTGCAGTACCTCTGGAGTTGGGTAATACTGCACTGACTACTGTGCTGAGGCTGCCAGTGAGTCTGTGCTGCTTTAATTCCTCTATTAGCCACGCAGATCCAAACCCTGCTGAGGCTGCCAGTGAGTCTGTGCTGGTTTAATTCCTCTATTAGCCACGCAGGTTTCTGCTGAGATCCAAACCTTTGCAGACTGTAACTCTTACTAAATGTGCCATTATTTCACTTAGGAAGAATGGGAATAACTTTGGAACACTAACCTGCTAACCCACTGATTCACACCACCGTATACAGAAGGAAAACCATATTCACCCATCAAGTTTCTCCTGCAGTTTCCTAACATTTGAATTTAGGAATTCTGTTCTGCTAATAAAATAAATCAGGAATGAAAACATGAAAAAAAATCCACATAAAAAGTTGTGCAGTAACAATAGTTTGAACTTGAAAGAGAGTGAATCAGAGGTCTGAGCACAAGGCAGGGTGCAGCAGCTGCTGCACACAGCCACTCACAGGCCCCTCAGACCAAACATTGCATTCCAAACGTTCTTGTTCCCAAACACTGCAAAACTCCCTGTGTTCCCCTCGTGCAGCTGTGCTGGTTTTAGATGCTGGGTCACGTGCTCGTGTGTCACCCTGTGCTCACATGGCCACAGCCTCCACTGCTGCAGGGAGCAGGTTTTGATTAACTTTGCCACCTTACAAGATGATGAGGTACACAAAGGCCAAGTGAAGCCTATTTTTTGATCTAGATCAAAATCAGCACAACTCCAAAGTTAACAAAAAAGCAGCATATTTTAGAGATGAAAACAGGAAAAAAAATTAAGTCATATTTTAGAATGACAACTGTATTTTTGAGCCGATGTAATGTTAAGTCAGTTACTCTATTCTGTTACAGGTTTGTCTCTTCTCTTACAGACAGTACTTACCTTCTTACACTCCTCTTTTTCCCCATCCTTTTTCTTTTCCTTTTCTTTCTCCTTCTTAGTTTTTTCATCTTTGCCACTTTCTTTCTTGCTCTTCCTCTCCTCCTCTTTCCCACTCTCAGCCTTTCCCTTTTCCTTTTCTTTCTTTGTATCCTTGTCAGGTTTCATTTTCATCACTTTCAATGCTCGATGGAAGAACTGTTTTTTCAGGAGTCTTAAAAAGAAACAGGTTCAATGATACATTTAAGAGCAGCTGCAATAACAACTTTTACACTCAGTTACATTATTAGACACCATTCCAGATTATCTCTCTAACATAATCATGAGCAGCAGGACTGAAAGGCAGAGGTCACAGTCACCTGCTCTACTTACAACTACACACACCACACCTCATTATCTGTCTTGCCTCTTCTCTTACTTGGCTTTCTTTGGTTCTGTTCAAAACTGGCTAAAAAACATACTTTTCTGTGCTTCTGTACTTTCTGTAGTTTGCAGATGTAAGTGAATACACAAAACGTAGGATGCAGAAAGCCACTGGGTCCATTTCATTATCTTTCCCATTAATACAACTCCTGCACTATTTATTTTCAAGTTCATGTCAATGTATTTCATAGCATAAATAAGACAGTGGACACATAGCTTATCTTGTCCCTTGCTAAGTGCTGCACATGAGTAAAACCGCCCTGTTGAAACTGTGGTACAAATGCAAATACTCCATGTCAGCTACAAACAGACCTTACTGCAAATATACATAGGTACATATATGGCCAGTGGGGCAGCATGAAGTAGTATCTGGTACTCTTAAGGTCATCACTAACAAGTAATGCCCTTGAAAGGATCACAGCCAAATCCTGAACAGGAAGAGCAGTACAGAATCCTGCCCCTGCTCCTCAGCCCGGGGGCACAGAGAGATGTGAGAGGCCCTAACAACCTGAAATAACATCCAAACTCAGGAAGATTGTTTGGTTCACTTTACTGCCCCAAGCAGTGTCATGAAAGCCTGAGAGAATTTTAAGAATGGAGATGATGAAGCTACACCATTTCCACCCTCAAACACAGCAATAAAAGTACAATCATCACTTTTGTACACAACCACAAAGGTTTTAGGCTGCAGGAAGTTACACTGGCTCCTAAATAACTGTATCTTGACAACTGTACTCATTACTGACACTGATTAACTAGGCTGGGTCATACCTGTTGCAGTAATCAACTACAGACTCTCGGGTTGTAAATAAAGCCTCTTCTCCTTTCTTTGCCTTTGCCCATTTAGAATCCAGGAGGCAATCCACAGCTTTTGAGGCTAGAGGGAAAATGGAATTAAAAATCCATTAAAATTAACATTTATTTCAACATCTAGTTCATGCTCCTTGAACCACACCAACCACCAGTTCTGGTGATGCTCCACAACCTTTCAAGACTGGTCACTATGCTGCAATCCACTGCCCTTGGCAACTTTTAATCGCAGAGTGAAAAGTTTATTGTGTTTACTCCAGGCTGGTGAGATTCATTTTATAGCTTCCTAATGCCTAGATCAGTTTTAAAAGCACTTTACAAGTATAAGATCAGTACTCTTCAGATAAAGCACTAACAATAAAATCATAACGGCCTCCCACACCCTCCAAGTACAGTGTCAGGAGAAAGCTGAATTCTCTGGTTAGGAGTGACCCAATGAACAATTACCAATGAAATAATCAACTCTGTGGCCCATCATGTTGGTGGATTTTGTTGGACAGTTGAAGCGCAAGTACTTAGCCACAGCCTTCTCCTCCTTGAATGGCTCACCAACTTCCTGCAAGGGAAAAGTCAGGAATTAGTGCAGTTCTAAACATGGGAAAATCACTCATTTGGGCCCAAAAATCAGGTATGGCAAAGTCCTCATTATTTCATGGCAATATATAAATAACAAAACATAAAGGATGTGGGAATAGGCCAAGGTGTTGTCCCTGAGAACCTTCTGTCTACATAAAGCAAAAAAAAAGCAGGAATTCTTAGGTTAGATGAGCTGAAAGTACAAGTAAGAAACCCTTTAACAGCCCTGTATAAAAGCAAACTGAAGGAGGACCCAGGAGGAGAGCAATGAGCACATGGAAAGCTGCTTAAGGCACACACCTGGGGTGGAAACAGTTGTGACGCTGGGAACAAAGGAAAATGGAGTGAGGAATGAGCATATATGGAATGACAACACAACACAGGCAAACTGACAAGACACAGAGCAGCCTGAGTTTCATGTGGAAAAGGAGAAAACCATGTTGCAAAGATGCTGAAAGATTTGGCTGGGAGGTTTCTGTGCCACTGCATGAATACAAAGTGACTTAAACTTCAGAGTACCCTTGAGGGGACTCTTTGGATCTACAGAGCAGGAACACCAGGATGCCGCAGAGGAGGATAAAGGACATGAACATCAAACCCACGTTTTATGAGAAGGGAGTCCTTAGTCTGCACAGAGTCACAAACTCTGTGCTTTTACCACCTTGCAGAGGCAGCAGAACTCAGAGATGTGTAACCCAGATGGATGGAGATGTCAGTTTCTGTTACGTAAAATTAACATCTAATACTTGTAAGCAGGAAAGGAAGAACTTTCAAATGTTCCTCCTTCCCAAAAACAGATCTGAAAAAAGACTGGGATATTACACTGACTCATGCAAAGTTCCTCCAAAATCCTTTCTGTAAATTCTTTGAAACAGTAAGGCTTAATTCTCCCAATCCTCCTGCTGCTCCTGGATCAGTAACAGGCAAACACAGGACATCTCTCTGGCCTGCAGTACCTTTTCTGTACCTGTTCTCCCATGCTGCCCAAAGAAACAGATTACACAAGCCACAAACAAGATTGGTCATTTACAGGAATAAAGAAATTCAGAGTCTATTTAAAGACATAATGTTCCTAAAGGTCAATAAACATATACAACCTCCATTACTGCTTTTAAGATGTATAATCACAGTATCAGCTGCAGCATGTCCAGAGGAAATGCAAGGTCAAATAGTTGTTGTTACACCAGAATAGAAGCTTCAGATGGTCAGAGTTGTTAATTTTCAACAGTTTACACAGCTAACTTTCAAAATCAACTGGTTAATGAATATCCTTCTAGAGAAGATTGTAGCTTTTCCTGTCTGAGGACAGTTTTGAATAGAATAATCCAGACATAAGGTACCCAAATGACCAAAAGACTCCACAGTTTGTTAGTTCTGAGATTATTTTAAGGTCTAAGTCCTCCAATATGTGTGCAGAAACATTCTCTCACACTCACCAACTAGTCTCAAAAACATGCCCAAATTAAGCCAGACGACCCTAACAATCCTCAAATGGATTGCATTATCTCCTTCTCCATGCTCAATCCTTTTAAAATTTCAAGTTCTGTGTAAAACATCAGACAACTCACAGAAAACTATTCCCTGGCAGTGCCTGTATGCACATCATTTATATGCTGTGGTTTGATGCCCCCTCACGTGGCACAGCTGTTCCAGGACCTGTTGATGCCAAGGTTGGTACTAAGAGAATTTGGTTTAGCAGCAGCAAACTGAGTGTCCATATAGCATAGTAACACGTGGCACACAGGGCGAGGCACCACAGGGACAGCACTTCAGGCAGCAGTTGTGGCTGAAATTAAGCTCCTCCAGTATTTCCTACCAGCAAATGAAACTTGGAACAATCCACAGGGCAAATGTTGTTCTTCGTGGCACAGACAGTAAAGCAGCCAGAGGGAGTGCAGATATTCACATTAGTGTTAATTCCTCTGCTGAGGTGGTTTTACCCCTTCTTCTAAAACACTGATGGTTCTGCTGGGTCATGTGATGCACTACACAGGCTGGGGCTGGCACCAGGAGATTTCATTGCTCTTTGCTATCTATTGCTTTGTCCTTTTTGTGGGATAATTTCACAACATCCCAAACACAAAAGCTTCCCCGTGAGAGAAACTCCACAGTTTAACTGAGCTCATTCTGAGGAAGCGTCCCTGCAGTTCAATCCCCATTTTCCATCCTATTCTCATCCCTTTGTTTGCAGAGCTTCTGCTAAAATATTAAAACAGATGACTGACAGAAAATAATACTACATTCCATCATAAAGTAAATCAACCAAAGCAGTGACAAATTCAGTATCATGAGCACATAGCTGCAGTTCAACTGATCTTTATGTTCAGCTGTAAAAACAGCCCCAACCCAGGCACTTCAAGCCTCCTCAGACATCTAGGAAAATACTATAAAAATGAATCAAGGGGTGGTTCTCAATAAATGATGAAGCCTTAAAACAGATAACACAGCCTTAAAAAGTGTATGAAAACTTCTTGGTATTTAAAGTTGACCTTATAGGAAAGACAGAAGGACTGAGAAGACATCTCGGGGAATCTATTTCCAGGGTGCTGTAAAATGTCTTCTCAATTGAAATGCTCTGATTAAACTTTTCAAATAATAAAAAATAAGATAGTGTTAAACTTTCAAGTGCTTCTGCTCTAGATTTTGGTTTAGACTCTTACATCTACTTTAGGTTCACGTATCAAAAAATGCATGTTGGCACTGGACAGCATGTAAAACTTAGGGATTTATGATCCCTGATCACTCAGAAACTCTGGGAGAATGCCATTAAAAATAAAATCAAACCCAATTCCTTATTTGTCTAGACAGAAGAACTCCATCTACAGACAGCAAAAGCAGTGCTGGACCTATTGACTTACTAGAAATGCACTAACATTTTAAGTGTTTAATGATTCTCTACCACAATTTCACCCTGTATGAATGCATAAAACAATGCTGAGATTTTCAAACCCTTCCAGACCCACTGAAGTGAAAGGAAAACCCTAATCAGATTATTTACCATTATCTCCCAAATCAAAGTGCAGCACAGTGCATTGTGTACACATTAAAAACACAAACATCTGAGCTCAGCCATTGAAACCAGTGTGCCTTGGAGCTTCTCTTCCCTCTCATCTCTACCCAAGCATGAGTTGTTCAGGTTTTCTTACTCCTGGAACACTGATGACAAAAGGCCAAAGCACATTTATTGTTTGAAATGTCACTCATTTTATTCCCCCTTTGTATCACAGCTGTGAGAAGTCACACAGACCCATGGCAGGACAATTTCCTTCCACAACTTGGCAATGGAAACAAAAGTTCTGGAAAATCAGAAAAGAGCAAATGATGAGTGTCACTAACAAGACAATTCATGTGCAGACAAATGCATTACAAGGACTTATGCTCCTCCCTCTCAAAGGGGTCATCAAAATAGTTTTATTTCAGTAATATCACTATCTAGTTTGTTTCTCTTACATCTCAGGGATGCTCTTACACCTCAGGACTTAGATTCCAGGACACTGACCCCCTCAGCAGAATGCTGCAGCCTCACAGCTTACACAGTTTCAGATAAGGAAAGAAGACATTAAGCACATTTATCATGTGGTGCCTGACTTTCAAGATGAGAGGCTATGTCAAAAATGACACTGTGCCAACCCAGGTTCCATTCCTCACACCTCTCCTCAGTCAAAGGACACTACAGCTGCACCAGCACTGTCTTCTCTGAGGATGGGCCGAGCACATCACAGCTTGG